AGTGTCACCAGCAAAACACCCCCACACCATCACACCTCCTCCTCCATGCTTCACAGTGGGAACCAGGCATGTGGAATCCATCCGTTCACCTTTTCTGCGTCTCACAAAGACACTGCGGTTGGAACCAAAGATCTCAAATTTGGACTCATCAGACCAAAGCACAGATTTCCACTGGTCTAATGTCCATTCCTTGTGTTTCTTGGCCCAAACAAATCTCTTCTGCTTGTTGCCTCTCCTTAGCAGTGGTTTCCTAGCAGCTATTTGACCATGAAGGCCTGATTGGCGCAGTCTCCTCTTAACAGTTGTTCTAGAGATGGGTCTGCTGCTAGAGCTCTGTGTGGCATTCATCTGGTCTCTGATCTGAGCTGCTGTTAACTTGTGATTTCTGAGGCTGGTGACTCGGATGAACTTATCCTCAGAAGCAGAGGTGACTCTTGGTCTTCCTTTCCTGGGTCGGTCCTCATGTGTGCCAGTTTTGTTGTAGTGCTTGATGGTTTTTGCGACTCCACTTGGGGACACATTTAAAGTTTTTGCAATTTTCCGGACTGACTGACCTTCATTTCTTAAAGTAATGATGGCCACTCGTTTTTCTTTAGTTAGCTGATTGGTTCTTGCCATAATATGAATTTTAACAGTTGTCCAATAGGGCTGTCGGCTGTGTATTAACCCGACTTCTGCACAACACAACTGATGGTCCCAACCCCATTGATAAAGCAAGAAATTCCACTAATTAACCCTGATAAGGCACACCTGTGAAGTGGAAACCATTTCAGGTGACTACCTCTTGAAGCTCATGGAGAGAATGCCAAGAGTGTGCAAAGCAGTAATCAGAGCAAAGGGTGGCTATTTTGAAGAAACTAGAATATAAAACATGTTTTCAGTTATTTCACCTTTTTTTGTTAAGTACATAACTCCACATGTGTTCATTCATAGTTTTGATGCCTTCAGTGAGAATCTACAATGTAAATAGTCATGAAAATAAAGAAAACGCATTGAATGAGAAGGTGTGTCCAAACTTTTGGCCTGTACTGTATATTTTTCCAACCTCTCCAGGTAACGAGTATCATTAATACACGACGTGCCCCAGGCACAACATTTAGCTCCAAATCCACAAAACCAACCTGAAAATGATTAACAGCTGTGTTGTTGTTGGACCTTGGTCTGAGCTGGCCTGATGCTATGTCATGATCGGCCACTCTGCGTTCGGGGGCGGGAGGGGCGTGGGCGAAGGGTCAACTGGCATTTTGTTTGAGAGGAACATTTTAAAGTTGGGTCTTTGTGTATGACAATTTTTCATACCGGAGGAGTTAGCAGTAACTGATTTGACTTCCTCGGTATTATTATTGCCAGAGTGCATATGTGGGATACTATCTTGGAAGCGCTTGAGGAAATTTTAGGAGGGAGTTCCAAAAGGAAAGCATTGATGCTGCTTTGGTTACAACAGCACTAAACAAGCAGTAGTGCTGCATCAGCAGAGCCTTATCCTCTGTGTAATACATTTTTGCATTTCCAGACACTCTCATCAGCCACCACCAGAGTGTAGGTTGGCTGAATGCTCGAGTCTTGACAAGTAAGACTGCCTTCATACCACAGCAAGACATTGATTGTGTTTGTCTGGGGTTTTGCTAATGCTAAGGCTCAATTAATGTCAGGCAGGATTGCACCACAGTTGTCATGGTAGCAGTGTCTTCTGTATATGAAATTGGAATTGGACTGGAAAACATTGCTGAAAAGTATGCAGCAAGGTATCCTGCAGTGCCCCTACTCTCTGTTTACTTGCATGTATTTGATTGGCTACAGCAGTGTGTTGCAAGATTATGTTGCATTGCGCTACATAAATAGTAGAGCCACTGTCAGCTATTTTTTTTTTTATGCCAGACTACCCTCCTTTTGTTTTTAGTTTTTCCACATCCCTCTGCGGTGGGCACCCCCACTGCGTTGCCCGATGAAATGAATGAGGAGTCTGTGTTATTTGCCGCAGAGCCATTGTCACTCTGAAAGGCCCTTTAGTTAAGCAACCACTGTTATAAATTATGTGGCACAATACTGTGTTTTGCTGTAGATGGGACTGCCCGTTCTCCACAACTTGTCTGCTTGATTTTGAGAACATATTAGTGTCTTATCTGTATTTGCTTTTGTGTGTTTCTGTGGATGTGTATTTGGATATGTGTGTGTGTTTTGCCCATTCTTCAACCACATGTCCTCAACGGTCCTTGACATCTGGTGACCATACCTCTGCTCGGGCTCTCTGACTGTACTTCACGAGCCATGGGAACTGCTGCTGTGTTGGCTGCTGCAGTGTGTGTGTATGTGTCGGTGTGTGTGTGTGTGTGACAGAGAGAGAAAGAGAGATGACCTCAGGTTTGGTGCAGATGTTTTCACAGCCTGTGTGCAGCTTTGTGAAGTGTTCTCGCAGTTAGGGTGATAAAGTGTTTTACTCTGTTCCGTTTGGTTGTTCAGGTCGGTGGTTTAGTGTCTGTAAGGATGCTTTATTTCGAGTAGGGCTGCCTACTGAAAGTACAAAAAAAATCATTTGGAGATCCCTCAGTCGACTGAGATTCTTCAAGTTGACTTTGCAGTGTACTTCTACGGCTGTTTCAGTCCCCAGGTGTAGCTGCAGAGTGCACGCTCCTTGCTTTTGCGCTGCTCTTCAGTGCAGGCAGCTGCCGACCCAGACTCAGGGTGAGTCTGAGTGAGATGGAGACAGCTGCCCAGGCTCTAAGTTAACATTATCTTCTGCCTTTTGCTTAGCAGTGGTGAATTTACAGCTGACAACAACTTAATACGATACGGTCTCTGGCTTTTGTGTGATATCTAGTATCCGGAAAACTGTTGTACTTCTCCGATCTGTTGTTCACTTAGTTTGAGGATCCTCAGGCGGCAGGGACAACAATTCTGAACAAGTCCTCCTCCGACCTTAATGACAAAACAGGGGTGCCCTCGTAGTTTAGGGATTAAGATAATGAACCACACTGTCAGGTGCTTTGTGTGCACATCCCAGCCTCATTTCCTGTCACCTCTCCACTGTCTGTAATAAAGACTTAACCAACAATTCGATCTGCCAACTCTAAGGTTTGGTTAACTTTAGGCAACAACAACCGGTAGTCAATTTCAGGGGGAACGCCATCACCCTTGTTAGCAAAATGACCAAAATGCATTCCCCTTGTTAATCTGCCATCCCTCTCCATCCCTGGGGTCCGGACCAAGATGCTGTCCTCGACCTAAAACCAAGAAATTATTGCGAATTATTAAATTTCGACGTAGCATTTCTATTTTAACCAGCACAGCATCTGTAACAGGAAACTTACAGACCAATTGCATGTGTTAAATCATCTCACATGATGCTCCTTTGCCAATTAAATCTGTGCATTCTGATAAACTTGCAATTCGAGGAGCGACAAAATACAACAGATGGACAAATAAGTGAGTCAGTTAAAAAAAAATTGCACAGTGTGTTCTAAAGAGAGAAAGGTAGGCAATGAAAATAGTTTTTACTCAAAAACGGACAAACTTTTACATGTTTATTTTTCATAACAAAACCAGTGTGTCATATCATGTGTTCTGCAACAGTGGCTATTATAAGTGGCAATTTGAAGCAACACTTTGAGACAAACCACTTTTCAGCCTCTTTTCAGCAAACATACCAGCTCAAATCTAAACTAAGACTATAGAAGATAAAATACTTTATACCAATAAATCATTTTTTGTCACATGAAAGGTACAACTCTAGGATAAAGGCATTGGATCCTGAAGCAAAATCTTGTCAGGAAAATGTAAAGTTCTAGAAAGTTTTGGAATGGATGACCAATGCTGTCATTTTTCTCGAGAACTGTCTCTTCTGGTAAAAAGTGTCCTTGAAATGTCCTTCAGAATAAGAAAAATAAAACAGATTGCTCCTGTTTTCCAATCAGTCAATAACTACTCTGTGCTATTTTACTTCTATGCCGTTCTGTTCAGCTCTGCCCTTTCCGTTCTGCTACACTATACTCGTTTTTTCTTCACTCGCTTCCACTCTTTTTAAGAGGTGGTCTGACGTTTATTCACATTTTGGGGTTTTCCCTGATGGTTATATTTAGCCAACAGGAAATGTCCCAGAAATCCTCGTTCTGCTCCCACTGAGATGGAGCGAGCCGCGTACACATCTACAGTGTCTCATGCCCTTCAGCCTCAAACAGGGTTGTACTGGGATCTGCTTTGTTTATATTCCCATGCATTTTCCTTTGAGTAAATTCAAAGATAGCGACTCCACATTGCCTCAGTCTATTGAGTTTTTTCCAGTTTCAAACCTCCCACTCGCTGTGCGCCCAGCCCGGCCTACAAACATCAGCCTCATTCATCTCCACATGAAGTTAAGGATTGTTCGCCGCACCTCAAGTTCAGCCTCAGTGTCATTCAGAGGCTTCAAAGCCAAATCCATCCCCTTTAGATAGCCCGTGGCCTCTGGCCCCTTCAGCCCTCGATAAGCCCTGACTTCCAACCCCACTTATACTTAATTTCTTTTCTGCGTACGCCCAGGGATCATCTTTCTCCTAATCTCCGGGTACAGAACAGAGAACAGTAGAATATTTAAAGGAATCCTGTAGAGCTGAAGCCTGTTTATGTTAATGTCTAATTTCTCTCATTAGTCTGCTGTATTGTTGAAGCAATACACAGGACAGAAACTTGGAATAGCCTCTGTGACATCACCCAGTAGACTAAACAAGACTGTGTCGGTTTAAATCTAGTTGGACAGTATGCTTTATAAGAAGCCAATAAGTCTCTGCTCACCTTTTAAATTGAATGTATGAAACCCTTAATGGACCCAGAGGGATTCCTGCAGATGATGAGCATCAATATTAATACATTCAATCAATACAACAGCATGCATTAGTGCATCATCATGCTCAACTTTTTGTGCCTTGGATTTTTTTTTGTCTTCACTGCCCGCCGATAAAAGAATCTAATGAAACTATAAATCTGATCTGTTCTGATGTTCCTCTCTTCTGTTTTTTGTCTCGCAGGAGAAGCGAAAACGACAAACTGAGATTGAAGACAAAAGAAGCCAGCTCGATGACCTGGTGCTACAACTACAGCATCTCAAGGTCAGTGTGTGTCAGTGTGTGTTTCCATGGGACGTTGGTTTCAAATACTAGAATTAGGAGTAGGTTCAGGTGCAAGTAAACTGTATAATTAGCAGCAGCAGTATTTAGGAATAAGAACTGGGTTTACGATGTAACTTGAAATTAGCACTGACTATAACCAGCTACTCAGGGAGTTACTAAATAACAGTGTTGCTGCTGGTGAAATTACAGCAGCTACATCTACAATCTGTCTTAATTCACTGTGATCCCTACTTACTGAGTGCACGTAGTAGTTTGCACATGGCTTCTATTTTTGTCAGGGTGGTCATTCCTACCTCTGCATTTGGATCTCACTCAACTGTAAAAATACTCGTCACGTGTTTATCATTGCAGGTAGGACAATAACTTTGAACATAATATGAATACACACTTCGTTTTTTTCCGTAATTTTGAGGCTTAACTGGTTTTCACACATGAAAAATAAACAAGTAACAAAAAGTAAAAAGAACTAGAGGAGCACTCAAAGAGCTCAGATGGTAAGGCCAATAGTCCAGTCTTCAGTAATACGCAAATCTGCAAGCACAACCACTAAAAATGTCTGGATCCATTCCCAAAACTATCCAAACTAGTCCATACCCATTGAGTACAGCATACCATACCATGACTTAGTCATACCAAAAATGAGAAAGAAAAAAAACATTCGGCCACAGGGGGAGCCACAGCGATCGGTCGCATTTAGCCATTTTTAAGCATTTTTCTGTTGTTATAGCGCCCCCATTTTGTTTGATGGGGTCAATAATGGAGGGGTCCCCTCAGATTACGTGTGGTCATATGCCTACAAAGTTGCGTGGTGATCGGTGAAACCCTTGAGATGTTATACACCTTTATGTGATGAGCCACGCCCTCCGCAATATTCATTGCCTTATAGAAGCTCAGTTTTATTAAGTTTTCCAACTTTTGCCAAGAGGGAACTTCAGATATTGGTCCCTAGATTATGTTCACCCAGTTTCATGCAGATCGCGCAAACTTCCTAGGAAGAGATCGATTTTAAGTGTTTTTCAAAAAATTCAAAGTGGCGGAAAATCTATATAACCAGAAGTTATGGGTTCTTGAGGCAGATTTGTTCCTCATGAGGAGAGGCATCTCTGTGCAAAGTGTCATGTCTGTACGACATACAGGGCATGAGATATGCCCATTCAAAGTTTGCAATTTCAATCGGTTGCTATAGCGCCCCCCTTTGGCCAATTTATGTAATATTGCTTCATTCACATCCTCCCTTGACCCTCTACCACTGTGCCAAATTTCACATGGATTGACCAAGTCAGTGAGGAGAAAAACGTGGAACAGAGACACAAACAGACACAGTTTTCGTCATTATATAGTAAGATTATGTCAAAAGAGTGTCCCATAACGACAGCTTTCTGTATGAAGTTTAAGCTACTTCAGGTGTTGGCTGCCCCAGGGGACTACTGGTACCCGTGAATTCCAGATACCTGGTTCTGGTTTCAGTACCTGGAATTTGGTACTCATAGTTAATTGTACCTTTACTTTCTCTGCAGTAACAAAATGTTTGAACCAGCTGCAGGGCTGTTGTAGAAGACTAAAAGCAATTCTGTTCCTCTGCTTTTTTCTGATCACACATAGAGCTAATTTTCTCTGTCTTTCTGTGTGTGTGTGTGTGTGTGTGTGTGTGTGTCTGCTCATCCAGCAGTAATTCTACGCTATTATTAAAGTAATATTGTAAGAAAATAGGCCAGACACAGAAACTGTTGCAGCAGATTGGCACTGCAGCGATAGTTATGGCTTGCTGGGAACCTGATGATGTGGCCGCTCCACTGGCTTCAGAGCACTTCTGCCTTCCATCTGAAGTCGGACTTGGTGGTTCTCACAGAGCCCTGCTGCCAGCCTCAGCTTCAAGGCACTTCCGCCTCTAGTCTAAAACCGCCGTTCCCATCCAGATTCACTCTCAGGTTCTGTTCCTGGGCACTGATGGATTTAGCATGAATAGGTACTTGGTAGTACTGATGTACTTTGGTCTGTACTCTTTAAAGCATAGAGTTTGGTACCCGACCCTAATTGTGATGAGACCAGATATCATTGTAGATTTTGGATATGGCAATATCATAATTGTTGTCTTCCTGGTTTTAAAGGCTGTGTTACAGTAAAGTCATGTAATTACCTGAACTTCACAGACTGTTCCAGCTGTTTTATTATCTATTATATCCACATTACTAATGATTATTTATCAAAAATCTCACTGTGTAAATATGTAGTGAAATCACCAATAGTCAACTCTACAATATCATCACAATGTTGATATTGAGGTACAGACAGACATCTAGAGGGAGCTCGGAGTAGAGCTGCTCCGGCTGCTCCTTCACATCGAAAGGGGTCAGTTGAGGTGGTTCCGGCAGCCGATCAGGATGCCTCCCAGGAGCCTCCCATTAGAAGTTTTCCGGGCACGTCTAAGTGGAAGGAGACCCCAGGGTCGCCCCAGAACACGCTGGAGGGATTATATATCTCATCTGGCCCGGGAACACCTTGGGATCCCCCAGGAGGAGCTGGGAAAGGTTGCTGGGGAGAGGGATGTCTGGAGTACCTTGCTTAACCTGCTGCCTCTGCGACCCATAGATAGATGACAAACAACTTCTGTATCCATATTCACCCCATGATTCAGATCCATCCTAAAATTTAATGGGTTCCTACTTGGCCCAGGCTACCTTTCCACCAAGTTCCATTAAAATGGGGCCAGTTTTTAAGTAACCCTGCTGACAAATGGACAAACCAGAGCAAAACCATAACCTCTCCGGTGGAAGTAAAAATGTCAAATCATTGCTCACGCTCAACAGTGTCAGTAGTAGAACTGGTGGAGTGTCAAAGTCACTGTGCTGCATTGCTGCTGCAATGATTACAGACATGCAAAGGTTGCATTTAAAAGTATACCTAGCCCAGCTGCCTGCTGGGATATATAACACAACTCCAACATTATGGTGTACTTATGGACCTTTCTGCTTACTTGTTTTATTTATAGCTGTAAATTCACTGCCGGATTTTACCGTTTGATCCACTACTGGACTGAACGTTGCAAAAGTGTGAGCCACTATATGGGAGAGATAAGAGATGAGGTGTTGCTTGAGACTTGAGGTAACAGTTTAAGGTCAGATATTGATTTAAGGGTGAGTTAGAGTGGAGGTAAAGCAGAGAGTTCAGGTTAGGGTCAGACGTTGGCGGATGAATGGAGTCAGTGATGATGCTCACAAGTAAGCTTTACAAATGTGTGTGTGTGTGTGTGTGTGTGTATGTGTATCACCCATTCATCTCTCTTAATCTACTCAGTCCCTCTATTTTCCTAAGCCTTGACCTTACATGTCATAGAGACTTAAAGAGACAGTGTGCTCTCAAAGACACATCACGTGCCGTCCTTTACAGTTTCGATCTATTCCTGCTTTCACACGTGCACGCATGTGTGTTTAATTCCTTGCGTGCACAGATAAATGTGTGAGTCACTTTCTGGCTAACAGGTAGCAGTTCCTTCCATCGCAACATCCAAAATCTCAGCTATCCCAGTGTGTAGGCCTGTTAGAGTTTCCCTTGGCCAAGCGGGGCAGGCCTGGTTGTTTTCTTCCTCCCAGAACAACACTCAAATCCAAACACACATACGCATATTTCCCTAATAATTGCTGCCAGCCGCTACCAGTAAGCCAAGATTGTGTTTCAAGTAAATACTGATCTGACGTTCAAATAGTAAGTAGGAGTGTAAATGAGGAACATAAACTGCTGACAGATTGGGAGGTTGAGGAAAAAACAGCTTTCAGTAATTCATGTGGAGTTCTTGAACCTTTCATCCAATGAGAAATTGGTCCCGTGACCTCACACATGAGCTCAGAGAAATACATGACCGGCCCTGTCAGGTGGAGACAGATAGAGGCATCCTGTGATGAGTGATGCACCGTGTGACGTGCCTTAAAATACATTCTGCTCATGAGGTTTATGACTCTGATTTCTTTTTCTTGCCATATTTGAGTTAATACAAGTTACACTTTGTACATACTGTACTGTTGATAGCTAAGAGGAATTGTTCATAAAACCCTGCAGCTCTAAATGCAGCACAGAAGCAGGGTGGGTGGGTGGGTACCCATTATGCTACAAATATGTATGGTAGCCAGCTTTAATATTTGCAATAAAAATACATTCCATTCTCTAATTAGAGCCTTTAAACACACTTGGCTTGAATGACTCCCACATTAAATAAGTTTGATTCCTACATGCTGCTGTTTTCCAGTATTTAACACCCACTTACAGAAGTACCGACAAAAGAGAAACACTAATTAAAGCCATGTGCACTGTGTGTACTGGGCACACAACTATTAATGAGGGTTCAGCTGTAGGACCAGGATTTGAGTCCAGATTTCTGCAGTCTGGACTCTACTGCAAAACATACATTTAAACTAATCTAAGCCTTACTGGTCAGGTTAGTGTTACACTGCTTTAATTTAAACCTGAAAACTTCATCATCTGCAGGCAGACATTTTGTATCAATACACAACTATACAGATGACTTTCAAGTTTCCATGTGTTTGTCTTGACTGCTGATGCATGTCATTCTGATACTGTTTTCTTTCCTTTTTCTGATCTAATGTGGGTTACTCAGCATGGAAAGTAATAATCAAAACAAATTGCATACGACGTTTACTGCTGACATTTCAAACCGCTGCAGTCGCTACACTTAAGACTACTAGCTTGTGTTGTTTTATTCAATCAATGAGGCTCTGCACAAACCCCAGGGAAGTCAATATAAAGTAATTACATGTGGTATATTGATGCAAATAAATGCCTATTTTCTTTCTCTGTATCTCTGGCTGTATAATTTAGCCAGTATGTGATTCACAACAGCTTCTCCACTTGCTGTTTCGAACACTTTATGTCTGTTTTTATTGTTATTTTGAGCATTTTATGTTTTTATTAGCTGGCAGGAGGGAGTACCATTCACATTTGGTCTGATACTGGTAATGGTACCCAGTGGTACCTTTTTTGGTACTTAACTCACAAAATAAGTCCAAACTTTCAGCTGCTGGGAAAAATGATGGTAGTGTCTGTAGGATTACATTCTGGGCATGCTCTGCTCCACCTGGGTTGCAAAATGTAGATAAATATATCTATTCATTGCCTTTTAATTAGGCATTAACCTCGAGTTTAAGCCCATATTGTTGAAAAAATACTTGATTTGAAGTGCAAATAACCCCTACAGGTTGCGGTTATGCCTGTGAGACACAGCTTAGATACGAGCCTGCACAGAGCCTGTGCAGACTGCTGCACAGATTAAAATGAGAGCACAAGTGTTGTGTGAGACGTGCAAGAGAAAAATATATCTGGTAGCTTGCGGTCTCAACATGGGGAGGGTTTCCACCTGGTGCTGCTCCGCTGTGCTCCAGTTGCACCTAGTTTTGTTCTGTCATCCATTGTCAAGAGTGGCCGCAACCATCTTTTGCTGCTATAGTGCAGCCAAAATGCAGCACTTTTACGACTTGGTACTCTTGGTAGTACCGACTTAATTTGGTTGGGACCCTTAAGGCCCAGACACACCAAACTGACATCACAGAACTAGAGACAACAAAAGCCAACTGTTACATCACCTCATGTCACCTGATTCTTGGCCAAAAAGTTGCACTGAACACATCGCAAAGACTACAGCCCTCAGCCAATGACCAGGTACATTCTTTACCTGTGTGAGAGGAAATGACAAAATCAGCAGGCAGTGGTAGTCTGTATTTGTCATTAAAAAGGGGAAACTGGAAGACTGACAGGATGGATTTAAGAGGCTGGTTAGCCAGCACATCAACAACACAACCCGATGTTGAAAGAACAACAGATATTTACTGTGTGATAGTGAACAATAACACAAACGATTACGGATCATTTCTGTTTAAGAGCTCAAAAAGAAACAAAAAATCGTACAAGTTTGTTTCAATCTCACGACCTCTCGACTCTAGTCCATTTCTCTTCTCCTGCTCTGAGCAAAACTGCTAATCAGAGTTATTTCATTCACCAGTGGGCTCCACCGTTTCCAACCCCAATTCAACTTGCTGAATCAACCCAAAAATAAGCCGTGAATGGCCGCCAAGGACTAACAGTGTGGGACATTGACCAATGTCCAACCATCTGCTTGGTGTGTCAGGGCCTTAAAAGTACCGACTTGGGTCCCCAACCCTACAAGGGAGATGACAGGAAGTTCGTAGACAAGGATGGGGAATGACAGATCATTTTAGGGCTTTACACCCAAGCCACCAGGGCGCCCAACTTGGTGTCCAGTAGCTCCTTCCTGTTGCACAGGAAAGGGTGCAGCTTACGTTACCACCTTAGGTGAACAAAGGGCACCACCTGCAGATCCCAAGCTCCAAAATCTGAAAGACAAAACCTTGTCCAGTTTTCATGCATATGTGAGATGACCTGTGTCTTTTATCTATTCCCTTTGTAATTTAAATACTCCCTATAGATAAATGAAAAGAAGTAACACATATCATCTGCATGCGCCCTAACCTAGACATGTTAGCGCTTCGCTCTATCATCCACTGAGCTAAACAGGGACTTGAGCCCCTGCAGAGCCACTGCACTGCTCTATTTAGTTTTCTTGCATGTAACACCAACAGGCTTGAACTCCAGATGTAATCAGCATCTGGTCACACAGTCTCATTTAATGGCCATTACCTCTGAGTGCCACACAGCCAGGCAGCATGAAGCAGGCTTTGTAGTCCGCTCTCTAGAGACGTAGTGACCTGGGAGAGGAAATGGAGACTGGAGCCTAGAGATTTGATAAGAACCTCTTGGCTACACGATTCAAGCCTCTCAGAATGGAGGCGTTGATCTGAGTCTGGGTCCATGTAAACATGATGAGTTCAGAGTAAAGTTAACCCTTACCCATGCCGGTTGACTTTGCCTCTGGCAGTTAGGAATTTTGTTGATTTTATGCTTGCTCTCATTATTTCGGTTTCCGATGAATAGCGTAGCCTCAAACCTTCCTTTTAAGAGACTAGCTCGGAGGCGATGTGTGTCAGAGCTCAACAGGAAATGGAAAGTCTGTTAAACAGCGTGAGAGAGAGCAGAGAGCAGGCTGGTTCTCAGAGGAAACAACTGGTCAATTATTCGACACGACTTTATTCAACACTGTTTTGTTGACTGCTGAAATGGTCCAGAAAAACTTTATTTACATGAAAAATGCTTCTTTGTACAGAAGTATTTTATTGATAAAATTCCACGGGGAGGTCAGATGTCAAGGTCAGCTACAGGCTAGCGTACTCCTCTGGTTAAATGATGGTTTCTTTGCCTCACATGCACAATATTGCTTTGATCTTTGATGCTGCATAAAAGCTAAAAGCACCACTTAGTTTGACTTTCAAGCAAGTTCAGCAGCAGAATTCAAAATGAGGACAAAATGAGCAATAAGCAATCTCAAAAATGTACAAAAGAAAAGGTGTGATGGGGAACGCTAGCCTCTGCAAACTGCAAACATCTAAAGGTATTGCACCTTTTGTGATGTTAACATTTTAATTCAGTGGTTAAACTGGATTTCAGAGAGGCATATTCATTCAGTCTAGGTAAATAGGCCGTGCAACCTTTCGTTCAAAATATTTCTGGCTGATAACTCCGAATATGTGAGGCACATGAGCTATGTGAGCTTAGCTTGGCTGTGTGTGTGTGTGTGTGTGTGTGTGCAAGTAGACACAAACAAACAAATAGCCCAGCCACCACATTCTGACAGCAGGTGGTAAAATGCTTTGGAAGTATATCTGCAGAGCTCATTGTGTGGTGTGTGAGTGTGTGTGTATACTGTTAATTGTCAACTCTGTGCCCTAGAGCCAAGCAACAGTTTGACAGCAAACAGCCAAAGGTGAAGCTAAGTTTTCCCGCTCGACTCTGTTGTGGTAACAAAACAGAGTACCAGGCAGAGACGAGACATCAGACACGTAAACACGCAGCTCTGGCATTCATCTTTAAAACATTAAAACAGGAAAGAGGTAGTGTAAGAGAGAAGGAGGCTTACGTTGTACTTCTTCCCTGTTGAGATGGACAGTTTGGAGTGTCTTCAGGCAGCAGCTGGAAAGCAGATAGTTCTGTATTTTTCCCCCTTTTTCAAAGAAGTCAGCATCTGAGGAATGTTTGCTATCTCTCTCATCACAAAATGATCAAAGTATGATCTAATAGAGAAGCAGAAGTGTCCCAAATGGAAGCATGAGGCAAATTCTTTGGAATTTAACCGAAATAAATCTGTTAAAGTTCAAAGAAAACATTTAGAAATGAAGAAAAACAGCCTTGCGTGTGGACGAACAGCTCCATAGGAGGCCTATGAAGAGTGCGTAACAAAATAACTTGCACTATATTACTAACTACTGTAGTTCTCTCTGCCTGTTGGGATTCATATTAGCAGTGTTTTCCTGTGAGTAACAGCTGAGCTAAAAACTGTGTGCGTGTGTGGGCCTACGTGTTTATTTATTTGTTGTAGCTGCGCTTTGGCAGTCATCTCACAAATTAGTTTCCATAATGGAGGTCCACTGGCTGTTAATAATGTCTAAGAATATCACAACCAGGCTAGAAAATAGGAGCTATTTGAAGAGTGGTATGGTGTTGCTGTAGAGTGTAGGGCTGTAATCAACCAAAGAAAATCTTGGTTGACTGAAATTCTACCTACTCTTTGGCCAAATGGTTGGTGAATTGGGGAAAATAAAATCTGCAGGGGATATCTCTAGATCTAAGTAAGGGTGCTTTCCTACCTGCCCTGTTTGGTTAAGTTCAATCAAACTCAAGTTTTTTTGCCCCCAAATGCGGTTCGTTTGGGCAGGTGTGAACACAGCAACTCAGGTGTCCACCAAACAACCTGACCAAGACCTTCTTGAAGAGGTGGTCTCGGTCTGGTTACAAATGAACTCTGGTGCGGTTCGTTTGTGGTGAGAACGTGTTCCAACCTTGATCTGAACCAACTGCAGTCACATGACACATTGTTTGGGTTAAACATGAGCATGTTACAGTCCTGGAGGATTATTAATGTGCATCTCCTCCTGCACTGCCTTAATATGCACATTCAGCACATCCAATGCATCAAAACATTGTTTTCTAGTTGGAGCCGCGCCTCGTTTTCAAACTGTATGGTTTGACTAAAATGAACAATGACAGCAATATAGTCCACGATGAGCAGCGCTAAAATCAACCTGCGTAGTTGTCCCTCCATTGTGACATTAGAAAGTGTCACATTTATCTTGCAAGTGTACTCTTCTTCAATGTTTTGTTTACTTCCTGGATTTTTCCCACATGGAAATTCTGACCAATCAAGAGCAGCTTTCTCACACAAGGCATTTGATCTGGTCCTCTTTTAAATGCTGCCGTGAGAACACGAACCAACTCTAGGCAATTATGCAGCTTTGCAACAAAATGAGTCCCTGATTCGAACCAGAGCAAGACAGCTCTAGGTCTGGAAGAAGATAAATCCGAAACTGAATGTCCTCTGTGGTTATTTATCCATTTTTCCAATTGAAAATGAGAGTTGAAAACTGTTAAACTTTGGGTAAAATGCAGCGCTTGTCACCGTCAAAGTACGGGTAGGGAGTAGGGGTGGGACAAACACAGCAAAGACCAACCATCACAGAGGACAAATACAAGTGTTGAACAACAACAGCTGGCATGTTTCAACTGGGTAAAGAAATGCTTTGGTGGGGACACAGCAATTGTCCGACAAAAGCACAACAACCAAACAATCGACCAGAACTTTACAGACCTAGTAGAATCCGTACAGCCTGAGTTTTCTCTACGAGCCAAGTTTTTGAAGCTCCCCAGCTCCTCACATTCACTGTTGAACTGAGGCAGAATATGTAACATCACCTAATGTGTCTCTGTTTCCTCCTCAGTCCAAAGCCATGCGCGAGCGATGGCTCCTCCAGGGAATGGGAGTGGAGGAAGAGGAGGCACGGCGGAAACAGCTGGAACAGGATGAAGAACAGGGCAAGAGGCTGGAAGACATAATACAAAGGTACATTGACTGACACCACAATGACTCTTGTTTTGGGTTTTTTTTAGTCTTCATGCTAGTTTGGGCATTGCTGATCATCAGATCTGATATACTAAACAGATGGGAGTAGCAGAGTGACAATAACAAAAGTCGTCACATCTGTTTTTGTTACTACACATCTGCTTCTCTGTCCGGCACTGTGCAGTCGTCAGCTTTGACTGAGCTGATTTATTTCTAAAATACCAGTCGTATCATCTGTTTGGCTCCCCCTCCAGTCTTAAATCTAGTCCTCAGCTCTGGCACTGATTTTTTTACATCCTGTCCACATGGACCAAATTGGAAATACTACAAATCAATGTGACTACATCAGTAACATACGGTATGCACTAGGCTTGGGTGATATCAAGGTATCACAGTATACCAGGGGTGTGTAGAAATCCAGACAGTAGTTTCTCTTTCTATTAACCCTATGGGCCCTAGGCGTTTTTGGGGTATTTTTACTGCCTTTACTTTTAAGCTCATATCACAGTCATTATAAAGGCTACATACACATGCTATATCTTGTTTTTTTCAGGACAATCTGGGCTATCCAGATTTGCCATCATTTCATGTCCTTCTATATGCCTGTATTTTATATTATTTTTTATATCAATAAAAAAAAACAAATCTGTGTTACTAAATTCTTACATTTTTACATGTATCTCACCATAGCAAGTTGGAAGTTGACATATTCTGCCATATATGAAGAGGGGAGACTCTCTGGAATCTGGCAATATAAGAACCATGATGGTGGGACATTCTGTCACTTCACAGCTGTCCAAAACATGTGGTTTGTGCCAGGCGGACATGATTGCCAGTATTTTTTCATTATTGCAAGAAATTCCATTGACTCAAGTCAAATATGTGTTTTATCTGAAAGACACATGCAATATTTACATCTAAGATAATAAAAAAATAGTCAACCAAGTGCAATGATGTCCTCCAAGATAATATTTGGCACTTTGTTTGCAGTAAACAAAGTTTGTTGTTGTTTTTCAGTTTCAGTTATATATTGGGGGCGCATTTAGGGCATTGGGGGGGCACGTGTCCCCCTCAATGTATATGGTGACTACGGCCCTACGGCATAATTAGGCTGCAGTTGTCTGGGTGCGCAAAGGTGAAGTGCGCTTGTCTTGTCATACAAAGTTCGATGGAGTGTCAGTTGGACAATATGGAGATATTTGCATCTTGAAAGCCGGACTACAAATGTGGATAGACAGGGAGAAACACACTCAATCCTAAGACTTGTTAAGATACGATATTTCTCACTATATGAAGTGACTGATAACAAGATCTGTATAATGGTTTGTAAAGAAATTCTTCAGGTTTTTATTTTGTAGACACTTGATCTGTATTTATAGCGTGATGGGATGACACCACAATGATGTGTGTGGTATCACTGGAAAGCTGATATGCGTGGCATTTCTATGCAAGCCTGCATTCGTGAGTAATCCATCCAAGAGTAATGTGTGTGCAAAGCTGTATGAAAGCTCTGTCATACATCATTTTAGTGTAAATTTTGTCATTGTTTTTCGCTGTGAAAACATACTACTACCGACAAGTGCTTGGTCTTGTCGGAAAGCTACAATTCCGCTGTTTCACGTGATATGCGTGGCTTCTTGCTATGATGCTATGATGGTCGCGGAGAAAATCAATAGAGAAGAACAGGTGTGAATTTGGACGCACTATGCGTCGTTCGGGCCCATAGGGTTAAAGGGATATGGAGATGCTGTATTGAGGTGATGTAGTGCACAGCAGGCACCACTAGAAGTCACTCTACTGGAAGACTTTCTGTCAGAAAGGGCTTTCTTGGTTAAGGCTAGGAAAAAAACATGGTTTGGGCTAAAATGGATAGATTTCAACCAGAGAGCCCTGAAGGAATACTTCTCCCATGTGGGTGGAACAGGCAGCTGAGCTGACAGGTGGTGGGGATAACGTTACAGGAGGACTGGTAAAAAGTTGTCCAGTAATGGCAGAGAGAGACAGCAGGGAAAAAGTAGTGCCAGCATATTTTCACATCTAATGCCGAGTTCACACTACACAATATCAGCCAGACACAGTGCCGTACAGTGTCGGCTCGCATCGTGAACGACAATGAGATAATCCATCATTTCATCTCGTATAGTGTGTCATAGTAAATGACAACCAATGCTACGTCTCTCACGACATCCTTACAGAAAGTCTAGCTTGTTTGATTTCCTTTTTGTCATCCACAACTTCCCCCATCACAGCCGTCACTTTGACCAATAGGAACCCAGAGTGATCTGCTGCAGTAGTCAATTGTGCGACAACAATACCCCAGCCTTTTGGATATTTTCTCTAGGGATGCTACCACCCAGGATAAAAAGGATGATGGTGTGAAACAGAAGAGGCACTTTAGCAACCCAGTGAGTGCTGCCATTAGCATCAAGCTAGAAAACAATGTTATTTCTTCATAATGGAGGATATAAAGTAATAAGATTAAAACATAGTGACGGGGCTTTTACTCACCACAACTACAGAGCTTCATTGAAACAGACTATATTAGAAATGGGACATTATTTATTATATCCTCTGTATTTTTATATATGTACTTTTAATCCGCCCCCATTTGTCATAATTTGTAATGCATCGCTCCGTCGTTTAAACTCAACACTCTCTGTACCTGTTTACAATTAAAAGCCCATGATAATTTTGGTTGAGAAAATCCCTTCTTATTCTAAAAAGGCTTTTATTGTGAAACATTTACAGGAACTTGTTGTGGACAGTTCAGTGATTGTCATAGTTTGCATGCAGTATTTCAAATGTAGCTCCTCCCATCTTGCATCTGCTTTATGTTGCTACAATAACATTTCACCTGGTCCATGAACAGACGCAGTGACTGAAATAATAGTAATGATAAAAAAAATGGGACAAGAATAACCCGATGACATCATGCATAAGATGACCAGCGATGATTGGTTATGGACCAACATGTAGTCTGTCATGGCTGTTGCCCAGGTCACTGCAGTTCCACAATCGCTTAATCTGACATAGTGACTGTTGGAACGGACAAAAATTTTGTGTAGTGTGAACCAGGCATAACTCTGTGAATTTAGAATTTATTCTGAACTAACCAGAACTGGTGATTGTTGAAAGCAAGATGGTGGAATTTTGTTTTATTTATGTTGCATTTGGATAAACTGTGTTTTAATAGGTGTAAGAATATTTACTTTCTTTAGATTTTGTGAGTTTATTAGACTGATAAGAGAGTTTGTGGAACATAGTGAATACATCACCTAGCTGAAACATATGGCCCAACCCTAGACAATGTCATACATGCTGCAATAACTTCGTAACGTTCTTTATTTTTACCCTGATACCGTCATATACCCATACCCTGGTGTAATGTCAGGAAGTTATGACAAATAGATACCACCCACGCTTAGTCTGAACCGCATGTGATGCTACAAATCAAGAACTGAGACTCTAAATAGCTTCAGTTTATAGCTACATCAAACACTGAGCCATAGTGACAATAGTGAATAGTGAAATTACATCAGCCATATTTGAAGCTGAAAACCAGAGTCCCAGTATAGACCTCTAATTTTGTGAGATTATATTGTGGCTCAACACAACACTCAATACTGCACAGTGGTTAAAACACACACACACACACACACATACACACACATTGTAACTGGAGAAGTACTGGAGGTGTGGGATTCTGCAGTGCAGCTCTGGAATCTAGCAGTTCTGCAACCTTAGAGCAAAATCTACATTTTTCTCATGCACTGGTGTGAAACAAACACCAGGAGCGACTGTACACATCTTCCCTAAAAACAGATACGACAAGAGCTGACAGGGAGGGGAGAGGACAGGGATACTCATAAAGCAGAAACAGAAAGAAAGCCAAGTAAAAGCAGGGCGTACATGCCGGAGGAAGAGTGAGATACTGAGAGTGTTCAAAAAGGTGGAAAAAATGAGAGTGATGTGATTCTGTGGGCACTTCCTGCGTTTGTGTCTCTGGGAGGAGCTTCCTGATTCTCATCAAGCACTGCTGTGAGACAGTCACTTATTCCCCGATAAAGTTGGGGCATGAGATCATTACTGCTATGAATAAAGCGCCAGCCAACTCTTGCCATCGTGATGCTTTGTGTGCTGGGCTGTGAGTGTTCTCTGTTTGGAGGGTGTGAGAATTGGGCAGGGCTGCGTGTTGTCTTCTCTGAGATGGGACAAGCATTTTGGGGTCATGTTGCTGTCCATGGGCAGTATGAAAATTTGATTTGTACTGACGTGATGAATTAACAGTGAGGTGGCTGATTGGCAAGACTGGACTATATCTTACATCCATTTGCATATCACCACGTATTCATGCACCGAAGGAGACTGAGGATGTTTTGACAGGCCCTTGAAAGATGCTGACTTTGCCTAATAATGTATGCATGGACGAGAACGCCCTTGAAAGTTCGATGCCTAGGAAATTAAAAGTAAAGAGAAAAAGCCTTGAAATGGGATTTTTCCCTGGTGTGTTTATGGCAAGACAAACAGCAAGAACACAGCCAGAAGCAGCAGACACTACTGGCACCATGCAGCAAAGAGTAGAGGAAAATATGACACACACAAACTACTGCAGCAACAAAAACCTTAATCAAAATATGGTAAAGAATACTGGACATGAAAACAAGGCAGACTTCTGTCACTTTCAAGCAGCGGGAGCGAAGTTAATCAGACAACATGCAATGCAGATTTAGCACTTCATAGTTCATGGTTTCAAGCGATTGGAGATCAGATCACGCTTTGAAAAATTAGGCTTGTGAAGAGGCCTTGGGTCAATTTGGCATCAGTGAGTCAGGCTCTCGCTCCACCTCCTCATCTATCAAATCTCTGCATGAAAGAGACTCTGTTAGCCAGCAGCTACTGTAGCTTATCGCCAGCCCTGGAATAACATCAACATCATACGTTGTCCGGGATCACATTCGCTCTGGTATAAACAGCAGCAGTGAATGGTCAAAGAGAGAGCA